GGAACAAATGGCGAATGAATTAATCGTTGGTCACCGGCTACCATGGGACTGCATCTCCTCATGATGCTCCACTGCCTTGTGAGTCAAACCTTTAGGTCAAAGGTTCGGGGTGTGGCCCTCTAAGAAAACCACCTGCTTCGGTCTGGGCACCCGGGCAATATCACAGCCCACACACAAATAAAATGAAAATGACGATATTTACTGAAAATTCTATTCACGCTTCGATTAACAGTCAAACAATTCACACTATTATTATTATTATTATTATTATTATTATTATTATTATTATTATTTACCACGTCACTTATTCATTCCCTTTTATTCCCACTTTGTGTATCCTCATTTTCGACTTATGCAGCAGCTCGTCTATGGTGGAAACTCGGTTCTATCTAAACGTTCTCGAGTCACTGTCTGGTTGAAAATTATGTGCTACCACCAAATACGAATACTGAAGCAGTTTTATCTGGAACTACGTGCACCATTCAAACTGGCTGCCTTTAACGTTTGCACACTCATGCAGGTCGGACAACAGATTAGAAAGTTTCGATAATGATATTAGGAGACGAAGATTATCGAAATTTATCAAAGGGACTAATTGTTCTAAAGATAGGAAAGTCTTAATATCGACGTTTGTTGTCTATCCGAGACCCGTATTCAAGACTCTGGTGAAGTACTACAAATTTGCTCTCCATCTGTCGCTTCGAAAAGCTTGTTTTAAATGTGTTTATTCGGGGACTCTGTGGTATCTTCGCCTGGTCTTGCTGGCGTTGGTGTCGCACTAAGCGCTAGAGCTGAGGCAGCACTAGTCGACTGGATCCCCATTAACAGTCGGTTATGTGCTGTCAGATTAGAAATTCCCATCAAAGCGTGAGAAACGATATCTTTTCGTCATCTCCGCCTATGCCCCAATAAATTGCAGCCCGGATGCAATCAAGGATGAATTCTACCACCAGTTAACTGATCTTCTACAGAAAGTGCGTTCGACAGATATTGTAGTACTAGCCGGAGACTTGAATGCTCAGGTCGGGCATCTAGGCACAGAAGAGAATCGTTTAGGTGGGCGATGGGGACTTGTTGGTCGCAGGACAGATAACGGGGACTATCCCATTCTCATTGTTTTGTGTGGCGTATATATATTTGGCGCCCCCTTGTACCAATATTTTTTTGTGTTTAAATAAATAAACTACCTGAAAAAGAAGTTGGATTAGTGTTGGTCTCAACGACCTGGGACTGTGACTGCAGAGCCCAAGGGACAACTGCTCGAGGCCGGTTACGCACGGCCTTTTTGTGGCAAGTTTTTAACGTGTTAGCTCCGTTCTTCAAAAGGCCTTACCGCCGGAGACGGAAATCCGTGAGGTAAGGTGGGGTGCGACATTTTTAGGGTCGACCTTTTCTAACCTCTTCCTTCCTTGTGAGGAGGCAGCTCTTAGTACTAATATTTGTGTTCAGATCAATAGTTTTAAACCAAAAGGTCCCCTGGTTTGAACCCCACTCTACTTCGGTTTGGACGATCGGGTGGTATCACTAGCCGTCACACTTAGAGTAGGGTTGATATCCAGGTACCTGGTAAATAAAATAGTTGATTACTTTTATTCATTACTAAGTAATTTCAATTTTCTCCTTATCGATTGTGCATTTAAACTGGTTATTCACTTTCTGTCAGTCTATCACAGATCTCCCATTCAACAGATTTCGAATTGAGTTTAATTTACTTATTTTCTCTGCTATAGAGAAGGAAGGGCGAAAGATGATATTATTGGTACCACTAAGTCCCAAGTTCGGACCCTATAATGACTTGATAAACTCAAATGAACTAACTAGCAACTAATCAATAATCTAATGTGTGCATATAATTTATAAAATTATAAATTGACTGACGACTAAGAAGCACAATTCACTACTGAATTATATATCTGTTTCCGTTTTAATAAATCCCCCTTTACCCACTTTGGTTTGAGCAACCGAGTAACATCATTACCTCACGCTTAGAGTGTAACTCATACCCAAATACCTGGTAGACGAGCTAATTTATATATTATATATGGGTACGAAAACTGTTTGAGTTATAAACTTCGCAACTACAGGGAAACTAGAAACAAATTGAGTGGATTATATCAACTAACCTCTTTCCAACAAACGGGTGCAAATACATACCTCTACGTAATGTGATACTCTATAAGTTTTATGTCAAACGTATTTTCGTGACTGATCTTAAAGTTCGCGCCTACATCGTGCAAACATTTCATTTAGTGTCTCTGAAGTAGTAATTTAATGAAGTTGGCCACAGTAAAGTGAGTCATATCTCATGTATATCAGCAGACAACACCACTCTACTGGTCAAATCTTGAAATATAGCAGTTGTATACATTAACAACATAAATTCGACGACTAAATGAAATATGAATATTCAGTCAAAATAACACTTACTCATGAATTTGTGAGTAATCCAACTTTGGGGGATGTAGATTTTTAAATACAGACTGCATTGCCGGTAACGTGGAGAAAACATTGGCATCAGTGGGAAACTGTCCCCTCAAAATATCCAATGAAAAGGGGTTAGCGCGTAAATGATTGGCATGTATTCCATTCTGCTATAACAAAAAAAGTGGATTTTTATGTCAACAACAGTAATGAAAAAGATTATCAGTTCAGGTATCTATGAATTTTAGCAGTTACCATGAGTACAAAATATAAATGAAATGATTTGTTCACTAAACCAACACACTATGGTTAGGCACAAAGATTAATGAAGATAAAAATCGTGTAACACAATAAACTAACTCCCTCAATATTATGTAAAAACTGTAGAGACTACATTTGTAGTATCATAGCCTAAAGTGCCCAATATTACCCCGGTTAATCTGTTGACGCAATACCGGTCTGAAAGCAGACCTGCCCATTATGAGTCAGTGTAATCTGTCGCTACATTTAGAGCCCAAATAATCGTCTACGCAAGACACTCAACGTCCATTGGCCGGATACCATCAGCGACCGCCTTCCCTAGAAGAGAACAAACCAACTTCCAGCTGAAGACGAAAGTAGGAAGACGATGGAAATGGATAGAACATACATTACGCAAATCATCAAACGGCATCACGAGGCAAGCACTAACTTGGGATCCTGAAGGAAAGCAGAAAAGAGGAAGGCCAAAGAACACATTACGTCGGGAAATAAAAGCAGATGTGAAAAATACGAATAACACATAGAAAGAGCAGGAAAGGCTTGTCCAGTACAGGGTTGGATGGAGAGTGCTGGTGGGCGGCCTTTACCCCTTCATTAGGAGTAACGGGCGTAAGTAAGTAAGTCAGTAAGTAAACAAACCTTTCTAACCGTCACATAAACTGTGCTTAAAGTTTCCTTCTGCATGAATCAAGGATGAAACAAAACTCCTTCAACTTGATACATGTATTTCACGATCAGTTGCTGTCACCATTTTTGAGTTGTCCTCCATTTTATCTATACCCGGAGAATTATTATAGGACTATAGGCAACATTCGGCATGCGATGACTCCACCTGGTCTTGAATCGAATCAATTTCGGGTCGATTCTAGTGTAAGATTGTCGCATTGATGCTGGTTTCTTATCAAATGACCTTAGAGTTGAGTACACTAAGACTGAGGAGGCTTACAATAAACGTTGAGTACTGGAAGAAGTTTGGAAACATTTCGATGGGGAAACATGCAACCGATATTTTATGGTTCGGCCACGCTAGCGTGGTCATATTATATAACCACTTAGACTTTATATCAAAAAGATTATTTTGTAACCACTTCGAATGCATTTTGTGGTAGTTCATAAAAAAGCCTTAGCGACTGTCACGATAGGAGGATAGTTGCGATAGGACAGTGGTGACGCTTTTAAGCAAGATCAGGTAGTTAAACCATGGAAAGTCCACAATAATGGATTTTATCTTTTATTTTGGTAGCATATATAAGTGCAGCATTACAGTCGTAGACCTTAATCCTTTATTACTGTTCACCTTTCACTTTGTTGAGCTGACTTGTTCACGAAACCACACGTGGCCTGGTTACCATTCTTTTCTACTCTCGGTTTGAAGAATTAATACTGACTTACTTGGGAGTGCTTTATTGATGTCGAAGTAGTATTAAAATATTATTGAGACAGTTCACACTGGCCGGCTGACTTAAGCAATTTATCACTGTTGTCCTGCCAAATTTAGGACCACGATAATTCCGACGGTCTTACTAGTGCTACAAAATTAATAGTCTTCGTCTAGTTTAGTTTACTAAACATGATGTGACCGTCCAACCTATGTAATCTTACACAAACGTTGCACAATCTTTTATCCTGACGTACCACCCTGATTCTTAAGATGTTTCGAATAATGAACAATATCTTAACGGCTAAATGGTTTATTTAAAATAACGGTGTAAGTGATACGGCCATCCCTGAGGCGCTGTCATACACTCCGTGGGTGCATTTCTATTCGTCTTTTCTTAATTTACCTATGTTCATCAAACACTCAACATTCAATAGTCAGCGCCCTAATGTCGGATTACATTCAACTTGAAGAGGGATATGGCTTGTTTTCGGTGTTATTTCTTAGTCCTCACAGTAACCAGCCTCCGATACCAAGGGATGTTGACACACTTTTGATAGATTGGTTGAGGTTTCTTCTGTTTGACTATACGTTCAATGACAGGGTCTCAATAACTATGGTAAATCATAGTTTAGGTTCAGAAGTATCATAACATTCCTGAAATCGCCATTTATTCCATGATTAACCTGTTTAGAACTGTCGACTGTCTCCAAATATAAAAACGTGGTTGAAAACTTCGCAGACGTAGAGAAAGGTTTAGGAAACCGTCCATTTGATTGGCTCTTGACAGTACAGGCGGGAATACGATTAGACTGTTGTTGCATGTGACGTCATGATACCAAAGACTATGTCATATCCAGACAAAAAGTGAATTGATTCTCCCTGGACTGTCCTGAAAGGTTGTTTTCCTATATTAAATGAAGTGTTCAAATAAGTGATGATGCCTTACCACTTATTAGCGTCACTTGTATCCTAATGACTTTTTATCTGAGTACTCTCACGGGCTAGAATTTTCATTTGTTGGTCGCTACTTTATGCTAATGCAGAACAAATGAGCGGACAGGAGTGTATATTTTTCTGCTGAATATCAATGCGCAAATACTAGGAAGCAATTATTATTTGAAGCCGAACTAATGAATAACATAAGTAACTGTGTCGTTTGAAAGTTCGTGTTAATACCTTGGTAAATACTCCAACGTTGACCCTAACGCAGCCTTACATATCCCTGCTGAAGTCGTGGAAGTTGTATGAACGAATTTCAGTGCAGCAAAATCAAGTTTACGATACCAATTTGTTGACTTTACTGATATGCTGGCAAATATACAGTCCATTTATGGAAATTCAGTAGTGTTCCCCACCGATAAGAGTGAGAGACTTATCGCTAGCTCCTAGGAATTAGTAATTTTGATGTATCCAGTGTCTTTTGAAAAGACTTTGTTCTATAAAAACATCCATATTTGAAGTTAGACAAGTTTAGCTGTTCTGATTACATGTGGAACTTAATTACAATCGATACAGTTGGTTTACTCTCCTTGTTTAGTTTGCTTGTCGAGTTCACCGAAGTTAGCTAGAATGATTTGGCTGCTTAACCTACTACCACTACCTTAAAAACATGCGGTTCAGTGACTGCTCTTTCTAGCTAGCTAAAACTAAGTGGTCAGATAAACTTCATCAGACAGAGGTATAACATCTAAAGCAGCTACTTTAGCCTCGAGAAATTAAATGGTGTGTACATGCTCTTCACAAATCTACTGAATATTTAAATATTTGAAAACCATTTAGCTGTATACATAACGGAGAGTAACTGCTCAAGCAAGAACAGTTCTCGTTCACCCTATATAGTGCCGTGAAGAACCAACAGAAGCCAGCTCTTTGCAGATTTCTTTCATACCACGACACCATGTCATACACTGACGACCTCTCCGCTTTTTCCAACCAGTCTCAGCGTCGACAAATAATGCACGACATGGAATTCTCTGGGACGACATTCGTAGAACATGTCCCAGCCACCGAAGTCGATGTTTCAAGATGAAGACATCAATTGAATTATCATCTCTGTGCCCAAACACACGATCCGAACCTCTCCATTACTAACATGGTGTTGCCACTGGATGTCAACAATCCTTCGGAGACAGTGATGATCAAGCACAGAGAGTCGTCTAACATCCTCAACTCGGAGAGGCCAGGTTTCACAAGCATAGAGCAGAACTGCTCTCACAGACGCGTTGTAGATCCGACCTTTAACAGCCAGACTGACATCACGAAGGCGCCAAAGATGGTTCAGGTTGGCATAAGCCGCTTTGGCTGTCACTATTCGTGCATTGATCTCATCACTCACACCACCACCAGCACTTATGCAGCTACCCAGATACACGAACTTCTCGACTACGTCTATCTGCTCACCATCCAGGGTGAGTACAGGATTGGAATCCTGCCAGTCTTGTAGAAGTACTTTGCACTTCGGAGGTGCAAAGCACGTACGTACCTACGGACATTGATTGCCAACTCATGCCGCCGACAGAACGTACGTAGCTACCCAAATAAACAAACTTCTCGACTAATTCTATGTGCTCAATACCAAGAGTGAGTGCAGGGTCGGGGTTTTGCAAGTCTTTTGGAATTATTTTGCACTCGGAAGGTGTGAAGCACATGTCATACCTACGGACGCTGATTACCAACTGACCAAGTAAGGATTGCGTATCATCCTACAGTAAGACAATATCATCCGCATACTCAAGATCGAGGAGTCTTTCTCGAGGCAACAGATCCACACCTCCATTACTTACATCCGTCAGAGCTGTTTCCAGGATGTTATCGATGGCAAAGTTGAAGAGGAATGGTGAGATTGGGCAACCCTGTCTGACCTCACTGCTCGAATGGAACAATGAAGAGAGGTGGTTGTATGCCCTCACTCTACCTGAGGTGTTTGTATATAGGGCCTTTAAGATGTTAATAAACTTCTCAGGCACACCCTTCTTCAATAGACAATCTCAGAGAACAGTCCTGTCCAACGAATCGAAGGCAGCCCTAATGTCAAGAAACACTATGATTGTTGGCTTGTGATGGGCATGATGGTGTTCTAACATTTGGTGGAGGGTGAAGATATGATCAATACATCCTCGACCAGAACGAAAATCAGCCTGCTCCTCGCGAGTCAATCTTTCTCGGGTTTTGAACAACCTACGAAGTATGACGGAAGTCAATAGCTTGGACGCAATCGGAAGTAGACTTATCCCCCGATAGTTGTTACAGGAACGACGTGAACCCTTTTTAAAGATAGGGACAACTATCGACTCATTCCATGACGTTGGTACACTCTCTAGTTCCCAGACCTTTGTAAACAACACAGTCAGTTCCTTAGCCAGAAAGTCACCACCATCTTTAAAGAGTCGGAGATAAGTCATCTGGGCCCGGTGATTTGTAGCGTTTTAAGAGTTGGGGTTCCGTGCGAACTTCTGCCTCATTTGGTGGGTCGATCGTCACCGGCCATGGAGGGCAGGACAGTCTGACCGATGTTGCCGGAGCAGCAGG